ATAGCTCACGCTGTCATCGTATACGTAGATCCATTAGCGGAATTCGGATTCATTCTCTTCATCACATCCGTTCTCAAAGACTCGTCATATCTCGTGTTGACCTCGAAGTTATACGAAAACATGATGCGTGGTGCAGACATAGAAGCCGCCGCCGCTGGGTCCTGGCACAGTAATGGCTCTCCACCTCAGGTCCGTGAGGCAGCTGGAGCAACTCGTCCATATGAGCCAATTCGCGTACCAAGCGACGAGTCTTGTGGTCCATCTTCCTACCGTCCTTCCGTACTTGCTAGCGAACGCGTCCTTCTCTGGACCACTCCTCACGGCGTCACTTTTCAAAATCAGCTAGAACAACTTTATCCAGAGTCCTATGTAGTCAAATTATTCTTTGTCATGGCAGAGTCCCTTGACGAACGCACTCGCAACGACTACGGTGCAGGCCTGCTACATTTTAATCAATTCTGTGATCGTCTCTCCATACCGGAACAAGACCGCATGCCTGCCTCTGAGATCCTTCTTTCCATCTTCATTGCAGATGCTGCCGGTTCTATCTCCAGTAACACCGCGAACAATTGGCTTGCTGGCCTTCGCTTCTGGCATGTCATTAACGGCGCTCAATGGCACGGTGAACGCTCAGAATGTCTTCGTCACGTCCAGCGTGGTCTTCGCCTTCTCGCCCCGTCAAACTTGAATCTCCAGCATCCTCCGATCACTCTCGAGTCGCTCATTCAGTTACACCAAGGCCTTGACTACTCCAATACCTTCGATACGGCAGTCCTAGCCATAGCTTGTCTCATTTTCTGGTGTGGTTGTCGGTACGACTTTCATTGGTTTTCTTTCACCCCCATCTGACTTGAAATACAACCAGTCTGGAGGAACTGGTCATTCCCGCTTTTGATTCCTTTGATATGACCAAGCACGTAACCCGCTCTATCTTGCCCATTGTCACTCAAGAGTCAAACAATGTACGTTACTCGACCTTCCACATACCATGGACCAAAACCACCGGTAATAACGGCGCCGACATCAATGTTACCTCCCGAGACCATCTTACATGTCCTCATGCAGCCCTCTTTCGTCACCTCGAGGCCAATCCCAACGTTCCATCTCACGCTCCTCTCTTCTCCTTCCAGACCCCCACCGGTGCCTGGACTTCCATGACTGAACAGTGGTTCCTGAAGCGCTGCAACCAACTCTGGGGCCCCTGATATGAATCGGCGGAGCCAGAGTTTCTCGTAGACCCGGGGTGTGTTACCTCAGACGTAGTCACCACTAAAGGCTGGCACTTTCTTAACCTATCAACGCCGCATCGCAGCCCTTAATGATCGATCCTGCTTTCTCGTATATCACTGCTCTCGTTCGCATACATTCAGTCATACAATACATGCAACGTCATCGTATTTTGCTTCCCACTGCCGTATCACGCACTTCCCATTCACGCATTTCGCACGAGAATCACCGTTTTCCGTCATTGCTGTTGTTATGTATCAGTAGCATACCACACGTTAGAATGTCACAATTTGACCAGGCCTGGCGTTGCGTTGGCGAGGGTTACTTGAAGAGGAACTGATGTCACTCGGGCCGCCGTACTCTCATTGAAGGTCTAATCTGATTCCATTTCTGCACACTCGACTACAACACGAAAGGCTAAGAGGGTGTGATTCAAGCGCTTTGCTCAAGACTGTGTGTGCAGACGCGATCGATCTGGTCACTTCGTTTTCCTGCATGTCACTATCAATTTTGCTTGTCAGTCACATAAATCCAATTGATGTCGTGTCTCGCGCCTCGAATTCAGGAGGTGGCCATTTAATACTATCACTGAGCTAGTGCCTCTACCACAACTTTCACGCCCCATGCCCCAGGATCAGTAACCCGCTCAGCCTTCAGTTTTATGCTATCGACATATGCGCTCCTGCCAGCCTTTGCCTCCATGTCTTTCGTCCCTTCAGCAGCTTCCCTAGCGGCCTCCACGGCTGCCGCAAGGCCGGACGACAGCGTACCGATGAACGCAGCGAGAGGGTCGACCAGTGTACGAGAAGGAGGACGTGCCCGGGTATAAGTATACAGACGACCTAGAGCAGCTTCTAGCGCTGTGCGCCATACTTCTTGTGTGGCGGTCGAGGAGGAGCTTTTAGCAAGCGCTTGGGCGAGGGCGGAGAAGAAAATTCTGACGCATGAGGATTATGAGATATGAATCAGACCAAAAGGGAACTTCACTGACGAATAGAGGGCTCCGCTAGTTCCTCCCATCGCGTCCTCTGCGATACGAGAGATTGTGATGACGCTGCCAAGTACATCATTACCGGAGATGCTGCCTTTGCTCAAAGCCTCAAGCACAGCTGCATGTATCTAATGAGCATGCATGCAGATCATGATAACAATGTGAAGTACCTGTAGCACCACCTTTGAGCGTAAGTCCGCAGTCCCCATCACCAGCGATGCTGTCCATATATGTAATCTCAGGCTCAGCAGTGATGAGGGCCCGGCATGCACGCTCTACGGCACTGTTGAATTGATTGATATCGGGGGCTTTGAGTGAGGCTGACCAGGCTTTCGCGTGGGTTACAGTCGGGAGGGACGAAGAGACAGATGGTGGCTTTGGGACAGACCTAGAGGACCACTTCCATCCTGGGGTGTTGGTACTGTCGTCGAGTAAGGAAAGGATGAGATCGGCGGATGGAGTTCCCGTGTCGTTTGCGGCGGGGAGAAGGAGCACAGTAATTGAAAATCCAGGCATGTTGAGACTTGTCTAGTGGGGGTTATCATCAATTCTAGCAAATCTAAAGGGGTCCAACAAACCATGAAAGAGCCAGAAAGTATGCGCATGATTTTAATTCCAGATTTGTCTAGAGCACGCCTTGCTTCGGCGACTACTCCGCCGAGCTCGAGTTCACTGAGACCTCCAAGGTTATTGACAAGAAGAACAACACGGTCTGTGCTGTCGTTCTTGAAGGGAATGAAAGACCGCTCTTTGTCTGTTGTGGAAGTGATCATTTCGAGGAGAGTGGGGATGAGTTCATTGAGAGGTGGAACAGGAGAAATGCGGCGGTGACCACTTTCGTTGTGAATTCCGAGGCCGATTTCGAGCTCATTTGCACCTAGATGTGTATCGGGAACAGCGGTGCCAGGAACCTGCATGAAGCGATAGAGTATTGTGAATATAACGATGCCCTCAATACCCGAACGTTGACTCATACATGACAGTGGTCCAGACCAACACCTATAGTGCCGAGCCTGGAGGAAACGTACTGGGCGACATCGTAGACCTCATCTACAGAGGCACCAGTTTGGGCGAGGGCGCCTGCAATTTTGTAGACGAGACAAACACCCGCGAGACCACTGTAGGATGTTCAAGTGATGTAGTGGGATTTCGAGAGATATCCGTACCGTCTTCCGACAATACTACCCTGGGTTTTTCCTACAGCAACGTCATCTCCTACGATGACGAACTTGACACGGTCAGCTTTGTTGGGGTAACGGGCCGCATATTCTTCTTTGGCTAGACCAAAATTGAGAACATCGCCGGTGTAATTCCTACATACAAAATTTGTAAGTGAATCTCATCTACAAGAGGAGCCGAACTCGCACTTGACTACGATGATAGTGCTAAACGCAGTCACTGTTAGCAAATGAGATTACATCCATAGCAATAAAATCACCCTTTTTCGTTATCAATCAGATCTATTGCACGGCGAACCTGACCAGCACTTGGAGAGGCAAAGACATTTCCACACACAGCAGCTTCGTGGATGTTGGTTAGGTCACGACCGTATGAAGAATATAGCGATTCTGCTAACCGGTCAAAGCCCCCTGGCCTGCATTCAGGTCAGCGTGTACTGGAATGTAATGCGAGGGCTTACTATTTACCTACGAAACCTGAGTGGGATGGCTCATGGCCAGAACCACCTCCACAGAGCAGGGCAACTTTGGAGCGGTCCTGATCAGCTAGGTACACGACTACATATCTTTTCAGTAAAAGATCCTGGACATTAGGAGTCTGTGACTTTACCTCTATGAGTCGGATCAAGAGCTAGATGTGTATTGATTGTACACAGTCCTTCTAAGGAATCGAGCACGAGAGAGGGTGCTGTGTTCAGGAAATGCTTGCCTATGTTCGAAGTTGGTGAGCAGTTATTACATTGATAAGGCCTTACTTTGTACGACCATGACTGCGGGGTGGGAAGAAAGGAGTTTACATGTATTGGAAATCTACCCCGAAGCGAGGTACGAGTTAGGAATGAAGACTTGGTTGTAGCGGCTGTGCAGCACGTGGCTTCTCTTCTCCACCCTACCACACACTAGTGTCAGCAAGCCTGCAGCTGACCACCTTTCGGATTTTATTTTCTGCTATAAACTCTGGTGAGATCTGATGGCTCAGATCCTTGTATGCATCTGCATGTAATGAAGACAAGTCCGGCGGGGAAGCCGGTCATGAGTAGAGAGCACTCGACGAAAGTGCTATAGTGCTGGTCTCTCAAGCTCACTGTAGGAAGTTCCACCACACTCCTAGCCCATCTAACATATGTAAGGACGGAACAGTTGATCCCGCGGAAGCAATTCGCGTCCCACCCGCGTGCGTGTGCCACCTGAGCTCCACTGTTTACTCTCTTTCTGTAGTATACTTTTTTTGAGTGGCAACGGCCATGTGATTACACAACACAATACCGTAGATAGTATATAGGAGAAGTAGCAGCTCAGTGTATCCTAGTCTATCCTATGCTTTCAATCTTGACCCTAAGATAACTGAACCAATATATAGCTAACATATAACAATTGATATCTTTCTACATAAGGTGAGTCTGCAATCAAGGACTTGCAGACATCACACGCACCGGGTCCGATACGAAAATAAGTTGCGTAAGACTGTAATCTAGTAGTGATCGTGAATAAGTAAGAGTTGCGCAGCTACTGTCTAGATCTCGGGTATAAACATTACGACTGACGTAGTCAGCGTGAAAGCATGCGGTGCATGTATTGGTAAACACTAAAAATACCTGGGTAAATCACCTGGTCGCTTGAATGTAATCAGGAGGGGGTGGGTTGTCCCTGATGGTTGCAGAAGCACTTTGCATTGATGCGCGTCGCTGCACTGGCGTAGTTTTTGAGATGCCCATTGAATCGTCGGGCACTGGCAGCTGGAATATATTTTGCTGAGTGCCTGGAGCTTCAGGTAGAGGGCGGTGTGAACTTCCCATCTACGAGAAGAGTTGAATGAAGTCGTTCATGAAAGTGGAGACAAAATATGGCACCTACCTCGTCAACCGGATATTGTGTTGTCGAGCTTACTACGACTTCGTCTACCGTGGGCATGCTAGAGCTAGGGATATGTAGTCTATTTGCAGTACGAGGCGAACTCTGATAATCGTATTCTGCCTGTTGATATGACTGCCATGAAGTGCCTCGGGGCAAAGTGTCTTGGTGGATAAGACTAGCATTACTTCTTGTCTCCACTGAGGAAGAAGCACCCATATTAGCATTTCCCGGGGGATGTTGGGGCGTACGAATCCGATACAAGTCCTGCGACGCTGCCTGTGCCGATTTCCATCGCCGATAAAAGAAGAACGCAGCTGCCGATGCACAGAGAGCCACACCGAGAGCCACGACAATGCCTGCAATAGCCCCGGAACCTAAACTTCTGCCTCACGTATAAGTTATTGAGGTCGCTGAAAGTAATTTATCTCACGTTGAAGTTGAAACCGCATTGACGCTGCATACATGTAGTGGTCAACTGATTTGTGTGGGAAAAGTTGATTGATGTACGTACCTTGAAGTTCCTGGCGAACCGCCGGAGCTAGATGGACTTCCTGACGGACTGGAGCTTGAATTAGAGGAATTGGAACTTCCATTGATTAGTATCATGATGTGTGGGAATGTGCGAAATCAGCACATAACCATATTCACCTTGATGTAAGCAGTGCATAGTCTATATTGAGTGTCTGTCCGTTTGTTTCAGGAAGGTTGACGAGGGTCACCTTGTGTTGACCAGAGCCGAGATTGTCTGCATGATAAAGCATCACTTCATAGAAAGTCAAATATGCGGTGGCATTGTACTGGGTGGGTTGTTGAGAGTCGAGAGAGACGGTATACAGACCGTTGCCAGGGCCCACAGTGCCAAATATGCTGACAGATTCGGCTTGATAAGTTGCATATTAGCTGGGAATTACAAGTGTGTTCGTTGCTACGTGACGTGCCCTTGAATTATCGATTAGAACAACATGGATAACATTTGGTTCAGCACTCACTGTGAATGTCAAGGTCACACTGGCATCACTAACACTCGTGGAGCTAAATGACGTTATTGAAAACCTCCACGACAGCGCGAGAGAGATACTCACTGCCCAGTCCCATTATTGAACAGGTTTACACTGGTGGGGTTCGTATTCCACTCTGGCTGCTGATACTCAAATCTGGCGTCCGCGTCATCGACCATCTCTGTTGCTAGCAGGGTCCCGCTAAATTCAGTCTGCCAGACCACCTTTGATGAGCAACAACAATGAGCCGTTGAACTGGTCAAAGGTTAGACACACTCTACCATGTCGATATCAACGTAGAGGTTCCCAGTGGCAGTGTTTGTAATCGATACCGTATGTGACCCTTGTGCCAAGCCACTCTGGTTGAAGAGCACTTGTTGAAATAAATTGGCATTTGATTGGCCAGTGTTTCCCGCGAAAGTTGCGCCGTCAACCACCACGGTGTATGTACCATGATTCGATCTTTTAGCACCATATATCCAGAAGGCCGTGCCATTGAAGGAGAATGTGGCAACGCTTGATGTTACGTTCGATGTCTGGAAGGTCCCGCGGAAGTATCTGAGAATAGTTGTGTTATTCGTCAATCGCAAGGCAAATGATACAAAACACATACTGGTCTGCTAAAGGGTCATCCCCAGAGTTCCCCGGAGCCCAGGTAGAATCATAGTGTATCAAAGGAGATTTATCGTCGACGAGAAATGAAACCGACGACATCTTAGGCAAGTGCAAGGGGAAAAGAGATGTCAAAGCTGATCCAGTGGTCCTGTTGTTCAGCGGCTTTTTTGCTATCTTGGGACAACAAAATCATTTACTTTATACTGGCGGTGATCGTTTAATCTTTGGTAATACCTACAACCGAACATCTGCACAGGTTAGCCTATCCGCACGGTTTTGTCAATGGAAGTTGATGATCAGCGCTCTGGTTCCTATAGCATTGAACAGGTACTACAGCGACTGATCAAGATTCAAAGATGATCAGATTAGAGGCATGTGTGCAACTGAAGCTGCAGTACCTCGACGGCTGTGTTGCTCCATCTTGGTATGGAACTCCCAAAGCGCTAGAAAACACATCAAAATCCAAGGGTCACTTTGAGTGTGGAGAGTGTGGGGTCAAATGTTGACTGTCCGATAAACGAGCTGATACGCGTAAATAGACAGCCACAATTTACGTAACTCAAACTTCAAACTAGTCGGATCGGATGTGACGTTGCAAGTAAGTAGGACAACTAGTTAGCATACTTGACGAGAAAGATTCTTATGACCATAATCCTTGCAAGGCGAGCTAGACCAGAAGAAACGAAGAAAGTAGTGCATACACATTGAGGTTGACAACATGGGTTCCTATAAATTACAGGCACCGCATGTGCCACAACGTTCGCCAATCAGGCCTCAGATTGAAAGCGCTTAGCGCTTAACTGAGTGTCGTGTATTCACAATTCGATCGATTGATACAAAGTATAAAGATCTGAGTCACTGATATTGCGACAAGCTTTCCAACAAAAAGAGCAAGAACTGGGACTGCCATTTCATGTGAAGGTAAGGTGCACATACATCAAAAACATATACCATAGCAATGCATGCAACTGTGGTCAGAGGCTCGAGACGCAATCTAGGAGGCCTTCAGCACCTGTGTGTTCACAGAAACTACTCTCAAGAAGGAGGAGCTCCGCGCGCCTCATGATATCCTGGGTATTTTATCTCAGAAATTGATGCAAGTAACACCATAGATTACTCACCACCCCTGTCCCCACGTCCGCGCCCGCGTCCCCTGCCACGTCCACGATTTTCGTCGCTTCGCCAGTCGCCATCAAACCGGCCACCCCGCTCAGGCCGCTCACCACGCTCGACCCGTTCACCACGCTCGACCCGCTCGACCCGCTCACCACGCTCGACTCGCTCACCACGCTCGACCCGCTCACCACGCTCGACCCGCTCAGGTCGCTCACCACGCTCGACCCTTTCACCGCGCTCGCCACGTTCACCACGGTAACCTGAGAAAAATGGAGTAAGTGGAAATCATGAACAAAATGATCAAGACAGACCACCGCGCTCGCCGCCTCTGTAACCGCCACGGAAGTTCCCTCGATCGCCACCGCGGAATTCACCCCGCCCACGGTAGCGCCCACCGCGACCCTCCCCACGGAAACCTCTGCCACGTCCGCGACCTCGTGGCTGTGTGAAGCCATCATTCTCAGGCTCCGGGGCAGTGGCAGCGACAACTTCGATGCCATTTGCAGGTGCAGGTACGGGTTCAGCAACAGGAGTGGCTGATCCTGAAGGAGCAAAACTCGCTTGTAGATTTGCGATCGATGGCAGACCACCTTCCTCGTCCGCCTCGGCCCAATCAATCGGTTGCGCGGGTGTACCCTGCGGAGTCAATGATCATTATGATCTGAAGCATACTGTATCTTTGGGCGAATGGCTAACTTACTTCGTCTTTCACAGATGAAGGTGTGGGTTCTTCGTGCTCGAGAACACCATTCTGCGTCAGTTCTATCTCGGATTTCTCAACCCATTCAGCGGTATTCTCAAAGTCAGCGGTCTCAAGCTCGCTCGCTTGCATGAAATGGAAGCTACCAGTGCCACTCAGAATGCTGGTGGTGGGAATACCAGCAATAGGTTGAGATTCAGTGTGCGAGTTACTTGAAGGCTCAGAGGCAGCTTCCGTTGCTGCATCAGGCTCTGCCGGTAAGGGTGTTGGTTCACGAGGAGGGTTGAGGAAGGACTGCACAATATCCAGTAGCCTTGCATCTATCAGACTGTCAGTTTAATCCTGGATTATTGAGTCCGAGGAATGCTCTTACAAGAAACACCATTGCAGTCGCCTTGTCCGGAGAGAAGACTGGACAAGACTATTTGCTTGAATTCAGACTCCTCAGTAATGAGGGTCGAGCAAACAGAAAATATCGCTTCTCCTTCAGCCTCGTTAAAATCAAGAGCAACGGGAAGAGGCTGGCGATTTGAGAGACATGTATGCAGACGGATTAGAGACAGTATAGCAGAGGTTTTTCCAGCTAACGATGCCTAGAAGAACTCAGCTACAAAGCTCATCAATCACAATCAATTCCCTACCTCGGCAGCAGCAACTGAGTCGGCGACTCTGACGGCCTCTGCAGCTTCAGCCTCTGCACGTCTAGTTGCCGTTTCACGTGCAAGGTCAGCTTCGTGGGACTGTTACACGAAAAGATTTATTATTTTTGTCGATGAGTAAATGATGGTATCGTTCGAACCTCGATCAGTTTTTTGACATCTTCTAGTTCTTTGTGAACGGCCTCCAACAAAGGAAGGGTCTTCAGAGTTCGCTTTTGGTCATCGTTTAGTTTTTCGTGCTCCATGGCTGCATAACTCGCTACGCGGGACTGGAAGACATGTCAGCTACCTGGTGCCGAAGCTAGAATGCACAATGATAGTTTCACGTACCATCTTCTTGTTCATAGCTTTTAAGCGCTTTTGGAGAAGTTCGACAACCGGACTAGATTTGGGGGTGAAATCGTCGAAGGTCGGAGCTTCAGAAGGTGCAACATGTTCTGGAGCAACTGTACCCTCCTTCACATCCGCCTCTTCTGGTGCCCGGTCAACAGGAGCAGCAGAAGTAGCATCGGGAATGATGACGGAGCCTTCGGCAGGCGAGTCTGCAGTTTTTGGCTTGTGTGATCGACGTTTTTTCTTTTGAATTTTCGCCTGTGACGTAGGAGGGAGAGCACCGGGAACGACACGGACATTTGGAGCATCGGCCATATTGAAAAGCAGATAGTAGGAGATGAGCTAGTGCAAGAGCAAGAGTAAGGGCAGACAAATGAATTGTGCTTGAACAAGTCACAAGAGTAAGTCAAGGGCAAGCTGAAAATTCAGATTCTCACGGTTGATGTACATTGATCTGCTCTTCACCATCACGCTGCCAGATAATAAGTCATATCATCGCCATGAATGCGGCAGATTTCAGCACTAATAGGCACTCCGCGAACGTGCAAATGGCCATGCACATGGCAAGCAAACATACGGATCTTTGCTTCAACGATGGAAATATAGTCTTGCTCGCGGGCATGTCCTATTTCTTAGTTCATCAAGGGCTCCTAGCACGGCATTCCGAGGTTCTGGATGAACTCATGCGCTCCATAGACAACACTCCGACACTCGAAGACCGCCCAGTCCTTACCTTACCAGATTCATCTACAGATGTAGCGCACTTCTTGAAAGCGATGTATGATGGAATGTTAGAACACGCGTCTTTCTCTCTCCGTTCCAGCTGACGTACAACAGATCATTCTTGACTTATAATTCAGAGGGATTTCCAACGCTCTCAGGTCTCCTCCGCATGTTGACCAAGTACAAAGTGCATCATCTCCGGAACGATATCTTACGCGGACTCTCTAACTACTGGCCCACTACCCTTGCCCAATGGGACACGCGTGAGGCCTCTGTGACCGGACAAGATGGTACCTATACACCACGCGATTCTCTGCCGCACCCCATGTTAGCCGAGTTGACTAATTGCCTGCTTAGTGTTGACCACTTTTTGAATCAGAGAAATCATTAACCTCGCTCGTGAAATCGATTACCTACTACTTCTGCCATCCGCGATGTACGACCTAACCCGTTCCACTCCAAGTGAAGCTGCGACTGGTTTTGTATCACCCTTCACCGGCGTAAACGTCAGATTAGAATACGCCGATCTTCTGACCGTTCTCAAAGGTCGCGAACAAGCTTCTCGTTTTTTCTCAACGTTCATCGTCAACAACCTGGAAGGAAGGCAACCTTCTCAATGGTGTCTACGTCGCAAGGATGGCCACCCTGTCAATAAGAGGACCTGTCAGATTGCGTTCGAGGCCATCACGTTCGAACTTCTGCGAGATATCAACGGTATCATCAGTAATCGGACCTCGGATCCACTGTACGCGATGGCCGAAGCAGAGCAAATGCAGATCCGTGACGACCTGTTGAACAGCGAGGTTTCTCCCATGAAAACGTGCGAACACTGTCGGGTGGAGTTCGGAGCGGTCGTTGATGCAGCAAAAGAAGACTTCTGGAAAAAGCTGCCCAAGTGGTTCGATATAGATGTCTCCCCCTGGGGTTAATGTTGATTCTTGTCTGGTCAATCTGTTTCTTATTCGTTTTGTACTCTGGTCCAATGAAATGTCCTTTTCCATCAAATACTTATATTGGTTCTTGACTGGGCACGTGATCGATGGATTCATGATTTAGTGAGCACGTGATCTACGCGTCACAACCTGTCACGACTTGCCACCTTGATTCTTGAATGCTCTTTTGAGTCCTCAAAGTTTCATTCATGGCTTCAATCCTCGATGCCAACACGGCTCTACAACATCCAGCTACTGAGGAGACTCACGATGAACATTTCTCTGAGTTAGATAATGAGCAAGTCTCTGAGGGTGATAGCGACTGTGACGTATCCGATGGTCTGACAGATGGATACCAAAATGCAGAGTCAGATTCGGAGGAGTCGGTCGAAGGCAACAAGGAGGACTCTTTGCGGTACGTCTGATATAACTGCCCCATTATTTACTGATAGGCCCGATAAGTTTCGAGGCAATACAAAAAATCGAACGACTAGCGTTGTCGTTTCTTGAACAACTTGCTGGTTCACTACCAAACCAACGAGCTGATATAACGTCTATCGGAATTTTTCAGGCACCTATTAATTCAAGATCAAAATACCCCAAAATCGAGCTTCAGTTAGCCGACCGTCATAAAACATCCGAATGGTAATGTCTTTACTCCGGGTCAAAGTCCGCTGTTGCAGTCCCCTGATGTGCCGGTGTTTTTAGTATCAGAGTTATACGATACCCCCTTAAACGAAAAGGAGCGAGTATAAAGCCATTCGGTTGGTCTGGTAGTCGTTTCATGATGGCTTCATTTTCACCGAAGACCGTTTGCACACAGCGCAGATTTTACGTGTCATGGACTTCGCTCACCAAGCCCTAGTTGACAATGTACCATTAACAAAGCGGTATCCGTCTTAATGAAGCTTGAGAAGGAACTAAGAAGAAGCTAACTGTGTTCCTAGTGACATGTACTACAAGGATGTCCCCCTCTTCAAAGCTCAGGGAACTGTTGATCGAGTGCGTTATTTGGGCACGGAGTGTCACCGTTTATATTCACTGACGCCAGCTCGTCGATGATCTTGCCGTGACATTGGACCTAGAACGGGCCGACCTCAAAATTGTAACCTCTTTGTCACCTTATCACGGATATAATTCCTTCAACGTTGTTCTAGCGCGCTGCATCGAAGGGCCTTATATGCGGCACTGGGCTGACAATTCACCTTCTCGAAGGCGAAGTGATTTCTATTAACGACTTAGAGGTGGATACATGTTCCAGAAAGACAAGTCCAGAATTTGAATGTGGTTGTCAGGGAACTTTGATACCTACGGGTGAAACCATAGAGCGATTTGAGCTGAAAGAGGATATTTCATGGGTCCTTGTGGTCGAGAAAGAGGTATTTCCTGGAGGCCGTTCCTTAAAGGAGATGTTGATCTGGTTCTCATTCTAGGCTGTCTTTCAAACGCTGTGTCGTTTTCAGTTTGCAAGCCACCAGTCGCTTCCCGGTCCTGGGCTCATAATCACTGTGACTAAGTGCTATGATACTAGCTGCGTTGCTGCTTATATGCTTCCTCCAGGGTAAGGGATATCCTGACGTGGCCACCCGACAACTCGTGAAAACCTTATCAGACAACCTTCCAGCGCAGTGAGTTAAAGCTGCAGCATTTCCAAGTACTCATCATCATATTCAATAGCATTCCGATCGTTGCACTTGTCGATGGCGATGCGTATGGACTCGACATTCTATCGGTGTACAAGTATGGCAGCCGCAGTCTACGACATGAGAACGAAAAACTCGCAGCAAAACGAATCGAATGGCTTGGCATCTGGGCATCCGAAATTGCAGAGTAGATACTGATGACTTTCTACCCTCATCCTTGCTGAAGTGGCTCACTCTCATAGCCTCGAAATTGATTTGGACACACTGATCCCGATCACACTGCATGATGAGAAGAAGGTAAGATGGACTTTATTGCCTCACCATGATTTCAATCCTGTCATTATCCTCTGTAGGCGCTCGCAGTGCTCAGCCGTGCCACCGATGTTGTGCCCACGAAATGGAGGCAGGTGTAAGTTTCATACCGTAACTCGATACTGAATGTGCCTACAGAAAAGAGCTCACGCGGATGCTCCACATGCGAAGGAAGGCCGAAATCGAGATTCTGTCGAGTTCCTCAAGTCAAAAGTCTAACTCCCTTATACATTACTTGGCTCATAAAGTCTGCCACTTCATCGAGATGTCTGCCTGACGGTGATTCGAATGCCAGGCATACTCACAGCTCTTTGGCACAATAGTCTTTGAAAACATCCCTCCAGAGTTTATGGGTAACGGTGTCACAACGCAGCATAACTGTCGTGAGTGTGCCAAACGCGTAGAAAATAGAACGACATACATACGAAAGTACTTATATCATGCAATCAAGGTTCATTATCACCAGAAGATCAACAACACCGAAAATAGGTATATGAGAGTCTAAGACAAATAATGAGAGAGCTGAGTTATCGCAGTATAGTTCGTGGTTACTCAAGTGGCGGAGGGTCCTGCAGTCCTTCCTAAGCTTCAAGACATTTATCGAGCTCGAGCCGCTTCCGATGCTAAACCAAACCTGTGTGGAGCGATAAGAACGGGGGGGTTCCGGGGAGTTGCTTGAGCCACCGACTGGCGCACTAAATATTCTCATCGTTGCAACACTCGCGAGAACTGAAGCATCATAAGGATTTGCAGGTACGAGAGATGCGTGCGGAACGGTGCGTACAGATGCTAAGCGCTGAGGATGGGTCGTGGAGAGTAGGCACACCTTTCTTAGCTATTGGTCGAGAGTACACAGATGACTGACTCAGACTTTTGATTAATATTGTCTGGATGCCAGCCTCAGCAGAGTGTGAGGGATCTAGCAAGGTGAAACAATAAGAATAGCAACAACTAGAATATTAATATAATATGAATGGAGTGGGCCTTGAGAAACAACAATGCCTAGTAGAAACAAGAGCTCCCAGCAGTTGGGCGCTGCAGCCTCGAGGTTTGACGAGACATACCCTCTGGTCTTCAAACTCCAGACTCCAAGTGTCTATTGCAGCATTCCAAGAAATAGTCCAAAATGCGAAAGAAAGTCCTGCTATTCTTGAGCATCAAGACTCTGTTCAAGTTTGAGTTGCTCGAGCTACCGACTAGTGACGTAGAAAAATGCCCGTCAATGCGGCAATTGCAAGGACCCGAGCGCCATAGGGTCTAGAGTGTGTTCGTGAAAAGCCTGTGGACGCATACGACGCAGAGCGGGTGGGCGCTGAGACTGTGTTGGCAAGTATTTGTTATCCATGACAGGGGCTCCTCGCAGATACAGGGTATAAATTTCGATACAAGAATCATCGTTCATCGAGGCAGCCCTTGGGATGCTCAGAAGGGGCGGAGAGTGCGAGATATCAGGTGGATACGGATGCGCAGTGTCCAATCGAGGTGGAGGTAAAACTCCTCTTGAGAGAGAGGCAATGGAATTGTGAGGGAAATATTGACTAACTTCCGACGAAGAAATGGTAGATTCATCCATGATTCGATCCCAAGGGCGAGAAGACCTTTTCCTGAAATAACAAACTACCAGTGCAGATAATATCAAAGAAAACACTGTTATTAAGTCAGTATTTTGTAGAGGAAGACTCGGACGACGACGTCTTACTTATTCCACATGATAAACTAGCCCGCGCCCCAGTGCTAAGCCCATGGCCGGCAGTTGGAGTTACGCCATGTACACTGTGCTGCCCTAAGCTTGAGGAACTGGTACCACTAGTGGTGCTTGCATAACTTAAGCTGGAGCTGATGGACATGTCTGTATTGGCAATTGTAGAGACAGAGCTGGACTGGGTAATCGAGGTGGAACTGGGATGAGTAGTAATTGTGGAGGCGGAGGTGGAGGTGGGGGTGGGGATGAAATTGGAGGAGGAGAAGCTGGAGCCGAGGAAAAAGCTGGAGCTGGAGTGAGTAGTGAATGTGATGCTGGTGCTGAACTGATTGATGGAAGCGGAGGTACTGGTAGTATGATGTGTAGTTGCAGTGCTAGATATGTCGTCGTCGTCATCGTCATCGTCGTCATCGCTCCCGCTCCCGTTATCGCGGGCGGGCATGAATCTAATGAATTTGAGATGACGCCGATCTTATATTTTTATACGAACTCACACTGGCTCTCGCAGGTGTGAACTGTTAGCTGCAACCGCGACGGACTGCAAGGCGAGAACAAAAGCCAAGACTGGGAGCAAGCGGGACATGTCCGGTGGCCTTGCAAAAGGCGGAGAGCGCCGAACGTGGCGGGCAAAGGAAACGGTTTCAAAAGCATGTTCGTACGCATGGTACCGAGTACTGTGGTCGGCATTGACGTGAAGTGATTCTCTTCTAGAATCGGTCCGCACGAAGCCGGGGAATAGCGTATGTAAGGAGCTCGAAGAATGATAAAGATCTAAGGTGGGGATTACCTGATTCTGATCCACACGCGCTCGGAGAAGCTGGACTGATGAAACGGTACTACGCAATTTAAAACATTTTTGACATCAAAATGAGGATATTCGTCACTGGGAGCCTAATCAAACCCCGTAGCGATAAGAGTTGACTTATGCCACAATATTGTAGAGTTCAAGTACGTACCCGGTGACTTGCTTGTGTTGTAGAGTTTCGAGTTACAGCTGAATTTGTTTGGGGACGAACGTTACATCATGTGATCTACGAGAGACGCCAGCTTAAGCTTCAGCGCTGCAGCTTCAGCAGAGTATGAGTTGATCAGCAACATGGAACTACCGGAGAATAGAAACTACAGAGGACTAGAACTCGTAGTCCCTTTGAGCACCTCTTAGGAACGAGTTACATAGCTGCCGAGGCCTCAATCGATTATCAACGAGCTTTACAAATCTGTCCTGTTAATGTCCAAGGTTTTACATAAACATTTATAAGAGTATGTGAAGAAATAATTCAAAGTGAGGAAGAATTGGATCATCGCAATGTATAGTGCATGACGCACACTCAAGAAGGATATTGTGGTGGAGGCTCCTGCAGTTCTTGAGCCTGGTCAAAATTCCGGTTCTTGTATTCGAGTTCGAGTTCCTTCTGATGTCGAGCCATATCTACATGAAGCGCCGAAAGCTGGCGTTCGGAGTCAGACTGGGAGTTGCGTGAAGTACCGACCGCTGGCAAATCAAAGCTGGCCATCACTGCAGCACTCGCCGAGGCATTATGGGGTATTGAACGTGCTCGAGAATCGTGTGATGGAAGGCGAGCGGGTGCTGAAAATGGGTCGTGAGGATTTGGGAGAGCAGGTACATCTTGCATAGCTATTCGCTGAGGGCCTGTCGCCCGCGACAATGTGCTGTGGCGGTTCTGAGCAGATACAGGGTATGGATTCTGATGGGACCCTAAAGGAGCGGCACTCGAGATATGAGCTGAAGCCGGATACGCAGTATCCAACCGGCGGGGTGGAGATGGAGGTAGAGGGTTTCTCCCTCGGGATACAACAGTTTGAGGTGGAAGGTCTCGGCTAACTTCCGTCATCACAAAGGCAGAATCATCATCGGCTTTCTCCTGAGCTCTCTGATATCGTCTCTTCAAGTTATAGAACAACAGTACGGCTAATATCAAGAAAAACACTGGAATCGAGTCAACATTTTTGAGGGAAAGAATTGTAAAACGTCAGTTCACCTATCCCAACTGCTAGCCCAGCTCCCGCTCCAGTGCTAAGCCCTTTCTGGGACGAGTTTGAGGAACTTGTGTTAGAGCTGCTTGTAGTGCTGGACTGGGTATCAGATGTACTAGTAAATGTGGAACTGGACGGAGCGGTGATCACAACTGGTGGTAAACCAGTAGGTGTGGGGCCTGGTGGTGTCAATGGACTCAACGAGAATGCCATCGTTATCGATTACTCGAACCTGAGACATCTCAGATGGAGGCATGTCGTTACCTCACTTATATGTGAGCAGACCGAGCCATACCCGAGCCATGCCCGAGGACTACGTATGCGTAGCTAGCCGTGCACCACACGCGTGCAGGAAGTTCCGATGGCAACTTATTTGTGGCATTCAATATTTGAAATTGAATCGGCTTATCGAGATTCACAGATTGACTGCGACTTCAAGTTTCGAGCTGGGAGAATCAGCCGGTCGGACCGAAGCCTTGAATGCTATGAAAGATTCCTTGAACTTCAGCAGCGCAGGAGGGTATTGTCATTTGGCAAGGGAAGGACGTAAACTACGACCAGTGGAACATACAAGTACTAACAGGAGCTTGAAGGGGAGCCGATGAATTTCAGTAGAGAAAAATGTGGAAAGACAATCGTATACTAGGGAGAGGAAGTAAAGTAGCGCAATAAACTTTAGTAAGTAGTAGGAACGAAATTAGCGGCGGAGGCCTCAATTGATGATTGACAAGCGTTACAAATCTGTGCTTTTCAAAGTCCAAGGCTTTGGACATTTTATCAGAATACGTGAAGGAATAGTTTCAAAGTGGGGTACAGCTGGATATTATCATGATCGTGATATATCGCGCGTGGCAGACATTCAAAAAGAATATTTTGGCGGAGGGTGGTGTGGTTCTTGGGCCTCATCAAGATTCCATTAAATTCCTCTGTTCGAGTTCGTTCTGATATCGAGGTATTTCTGCATGAGACGCCAGTAGCTGGCGCCCAGGCTGAGAGTTGCTTGAACTATTGGCCGCTGGCACACTTGAAGTGGCCATCATTGTAGCATTTTCCGAGGTTTCATAGGGTATTGAATATATCGGAGAATAGTACGATGAAGGACGAGCGGGTGCTGAGAATGGGTATTGGGAATTTGGATGTGGATGTGGAGGGTTTCCCCCTTCCGACGCCGAAAGGGCAGGTTTATAATCAGCTTTCTCCCGAGTCCTCTGATATAGTCTCTTCAAGTAGTAAAACAGAACTATGGATAATAATAAGAAGAACACTGAATTTAAGCAAGAAACGAGTCAACATTTTGGAGGGAACGCTCGTAAAATGTCAGTTTACCTATCCCAAATCCTAGTCCAACTCGCGCTCCAGTGCTGAGCACTCCAGTTTTTTTGGACGAGCTTGAGGAACTCGTGACGGTCGTGTTTGAATAACTGGAACTGGAGCTGGAGATCGTGCCCGTAGTGACAGTTCTAGAGCTGGACTGGGTATTAGAGGTGGTCCTAGAACTGGCACGAGTGGTGGCCAGGCCAACTAGTACTGGTGAAGTATGTGTAGTAGGTTCAGATTTTGCTGTCATCGTTCCAAGGTTAACGTTCAACGAAGACTCGAGCCTATGATGCTTTACGAGGGAAGAACTGAAACACAGTCAACAGATATCGAGGGTTGGTAATTGTGACATCATGCCAGCGGGCCGCCAGCCCGAGCCAACGAGTCCACCACGCCACTACCGCTCGCACAGAACTTTCCGGTCTACGTACACACTCGAATTGGCTTATCGAGACTGACGTTGGCTTGGGAGAAGTGGCCGAACTAGACTTTCACTACAGATCCGGAAAAAAAGAATGGACCGCTTGAATTCTATGAGAGATTCCAGCATATAGGAAGGGATAGGTAATGGCAAGGTATAACTCGAAGAGTATAAACAACGTTCAGCAAACAACAAGTACCTATAGAAACAAGTTGCGAATGAAACCTCGAGCTTTACTGCTACTGTTCGAAATTCGGGTCATACAGAGGTATCTATGAGAGCAGTTAAAAATAGTGGGAAACTGTTCAATCATCGCATTACAGTCCGTGATTCATAGTCAGGAAGAATATTGCGGCGGAGGGTCCTGTACTTCTTGAGCATCAAGACTCCGCTTCTTGTGGTCGAGTTCAAGTTGCTTCTGATGTAGGGTCATATCTGTGTGAAGCGCGGAAAGCCGGCGCTCGGGCTGGACGTTGCTCGAACTACTGGCCACGGGTGTAGCAAAAGTGCCCATCATCACAGCACTAGCGGGAATCAAACTACCATGGGGTATCGAATGTGTTGGAGAAGAAGCCGTGGATGTGTATGACGCAGAGCGGGTGGGTGCTGAGAATGGGTCGTAGGGGTTTGGGAGAATAGGCGCATTCTGAGTAGCCATTTGCTGAGAATCTGATGCCTGTGATGATATGCTGTAGCGGTTCCAAGTAGGTGTGAGGTGTGAACTTAGGTGCGAATTATCGCTCAGTAAGGGAGCGGCACTTGGGATTGCTGACAAGGACGAAGAGTGCGAAATATCAGGGGAATTGAGATATGCGGTATCCAGCTGAGGTGGAGGTGGAAGGTCTCTCTCTCTCGATGCCACAGAGTCGGGGGGACGGTATTGACCCACTTCCGAGGACAGAAGGGCAGCTTCATAACCGACGCTCTCCCGAGCCCTACGAGATCGCTTCCTTAAGTAACACACTAGCATTGCGCAGAATATTAAGAGAAACACTGGAAACACTGAGTCAATATTTTCGGGAAAGGCTCGGATAATGCCAGCTCACTTATCCCAAATGCTAGACCAGCGCGTGTTCCAGTGCTAAGTCCTTGACTAGTAGTTGAAGACCCATTGTTCTGGGATGAGCTGGAGGAACTGGTATAACTCGAACTAAAGCTGGTTAGCGTGCCTGAGGTAGTAGTTGTGGAGCTCGAGCTCGACTGAGATGTAGATCTGGTGATTGTACTGGAGGTGGTCGTACTGGAGGTGGTCGTACTGGAGGTGGTCGTACTAGTAGAAGTCGTACTGGAGGTGGTTGTACTGGTAGTAGTGTGGGATGTAGTGGATGTACCATTATCATCGCCATCGTCATTGTTATCACCACTGTCTGGTTCATCGCGAGGAGACATAAATCTGGTTCGAGGATGAGAAGAAAATGCGCTGGTAGTATCACATAAACTCACACTGGTTCTCGCAGGTATACAGCGTCGCCCGCAACCTCAAAAGACTGTAAAGCGAGAACGAAGGCCAAGGCTGGAAGCGAGTGAGACATGCCTATGGCCAGATTGTCTGTGATATTCTGCCAGGGCAAGGAAAAGACGGGCAGCAACAAAGATGATGAAATATAACGTCAGAAAAGCTTGCCCATGGGTGCCGAGTACTGTGCGCAGCATTAGCATGGAAATTGGAATGAAGTCGGAACTTCGAAGCCTAATGCCGCTCAAACACCACGGGCCTCCATGATGCCAGTCACAGTGTCCCCCCAGATGCACTTTGAACAGGTAGTGCTCGCAAGCTGAGGTCCGAGTGGGAATCAGAGGAATTGATTGCGGCTGCTGCTTGACTGTCACGCTGCCAGATTATACATGCTGCTGCTAAGCCGAAGAATATGTAAGTTGACAAATTTGGGACGCGAAATCTAAGATTAGCACAACGCGAATAAAGTCACATGACTTACGCGTCCAAGCGCGTCGCGTTGAAATGAGTGATCAGCGGAGCTTGAAATTTGGAACCCGCTATGCGAATTGTCCACAGTAGGTCCAAACTACTTTTCAACTTGTCCATTCACAAGTCTCTTGTCAACGTCCATCTGGTACTTAGGCGACGTTTAGTCTTCTCTAGTCGTCGTCACTCACAACACAGGCCGTGTTACTTTCAATCCGCAATCATGCAAACACGGTCATCTCAAGGTTCAGTCCTTGGAAAGCGTGCTCATCATGTCGATCAAAAAGCTGTCTCATCAGCATCGACAAGCGACGTTGTAACAGTATCGCAGCACATGCTTACCCCAGAACAGAGCCCCAAATCGAAACGCGCCCGTATCTCGCTCTCCGGCATTGCAGGAGATTCAAATAAGGAAAACGTACCTCCGTTCCGTACTGACCCGTGGAATGACGCAACAGTCGACACACCACGTTCCATCCACACATTAGTGATATCTACTCCCCCACCAACACCCCCAGTCTTGTTACTTCCTGTATACACCCGTGCTCGAGGACTACTTCGTTCGACCAGCACGAGTGTATCTTCTATAGCTGGCCGAGAGGATGAACGACAGCGCATTCTAGAATTCATCACCTCATCCTGGGGTGATAGTGCACACACGTCTTTGTACATCTCCGGTACACCTGGAACCGGAAAGACTGCGCTTGTCAACTCGGTCCTGCGTTCGTTCGAAAAGTCCGAAGGGACGTCCGATCTGAGAGTTATCTCTATTAATTGCATGGCCTTGAACGGGCTGGATGCCCTCTGGGATCGTCTTTATGACGAATTGTATCCCGCAAGGGCTTCCAAGAATGCTGCGAAACCTTGCAAAGCCAAGGGCAAGCAGGCGATCGACAAAGTGCTCTCTAGTTTAAATTATAAGTGGTATGTACTAGCACCACTGCTCATTTCGTCATCTGACCTTGGTATCAGCATTATTGTACTTGATGAACTCGACCACCTTGCATCCTCAAATCACACACTTTCGTCAATTTTCTCCATGTCCCAGCAACATCCGTCCACCCTCCGCATAATCGGAATTGCAAACACACACACCCTCACGTCGTCCTTGGCGCAGTTGTCTGCTAGTGAAGCTTCCAGCGCCCTGACCCTTCACTTCGGCGCGTACTCCTCCCAGGAACTACTCCAAGTGCTGCAAGCACGTCTCTCACCTCTCTATGATAATCTGGAATACCCAGAAGTAACAGATCAAGCCAAAAAGTTTCTTCCTGCTTCAACATTAACTCTCCTCACGAAAAAAATTGCCTCGCAAACTGGTGACGTTCGAGCCTTGTTTGAGGTACTTCGGGGGGCAATAGACCTGGCTGTCGCGGGTTCAAAGGTCCCAGATGCAGATACAAATCCTCTCACCATTCCACCTCTCATCGTTAAACCGGATCACATCCTTGCAGCCCTCAAGGCGTATCTACCTTCCACTGGCGGTGGTCGCTCCTCTTCTTCCTTGGCACCATCCCCTACTAGCAATGAGACCGTGTCCAAGATTCGTAATCTTGGCCTGCAAGTCAGGCTGGCTCTCCTATGCATACTTCTTGCATCAAAGCGGATGGAGGCCAGTTTGTCACTCTCTGCGTCTACCACCTCAACGCCTACCAAGTCCCCTGTGAAGCGCGCAGGTTCCGTCGTTTCCCAAAGGATCACTGGGCTTGACGTTGCACAGCTCCATGCATACTACTCAACTGTGCTCACACGTGCAGATAGCGACATCTTCACTCCAGTTTCCAGAAGCGAGTTTTCAGACCTGATAGGGATGCTAGAGACCATAGGACTCGTGGCGTCGAGGTCTACTCGCATGGCAACTGCCTCTCCATCGAGGACTGGCCGTCGTGCGCTCGGTCGAGCTGTATCGTTTGGCGGAGTAGCGAAGGGAGCTGCAGCAGGCCAAGACATCAAGCTTGCAGAGACCGTTCGCGCGGATGAGGTCCTGCGTGGCCTGGGTCTGACTGATGGCTCTGCTGCCAGCGATGTACGTGAAGAGGAAGTCAGGGCTATATGGGCTAGGGAATGTGGCCGCATCGCCCGAGAATCGAAAGCGAAATCAGTGTCAGGTATGGGCGGTGACAAACCTTTCGATGAAGCATTTGAAGATTAGACACAACTAAACGCCTCCACCTCTAAGTCGGTACCATGGTGCTATTATGTAGCCATTCAGTAAACTTTGCGTTATTCATTTCTTATGGCTAGTGTCTTTTTTATGGTTATGTCTTATACGATACAGGAACTCATACTACGCATCATCTCATGTAATATTTGATAAATCACTGCATTAGTATCGCAATCATTTTACGAATTCAAGTTCTTCCACCATTCGTTGATGTCGAGGCGTAATATAAGGTGGCGCAACGCCTCCACACCACCAGGGGCATGGCGAACATCGCTTTGTTCCTGTAATGCAAGCAAGAGTTCCTGGCGTTGCGATGATTTCAAATCCTTTTCCAGCAGGACCTCTAGGACTTTGATCTGCAACCGAAAGATCTGTAATCAGCCTACTGGTTTCATATAGTAAAGCAGTCAACTACGTACCAGGGTCGATATTTTATTACGAAATGCAGCAAAGAGTACATCAAGAGCTGATGACGCCTGGTACTCCTGCAACCGCCCGTCGTTGAGGTCACCAATCATAACGCAGAGCTCTAGGATAAGTTCTAGGCTCCCACGAAGAAGGTCACCAGCTGCTCGTTGGGCCGAACGCATCAAACAAGCACTGAGAATGTCGTTCAAGACAGCGGAGTGAGCCTCAGCGAGCGAAAAGACATCAGTAAACTCGGAGCTTGTTCCCAAACGACATGCAGTGATTCGAGCCAGGAATGCGTCGAAGTTGCCCCCAATTGCCACATCGAATATATATGCGGAGAGGGTGGTTACGAACGAATGCGCCACGAAACGGAAGCGAGTGAGGAGTTTCCTGGATTGGTTCAAGGTCGGAAAAAGTACACCCTGATGCGTCATGCGGAAAGCCGCTCGAATGGCAGATTCCACTATACAGTTTTCGTTGAACGTATGTCGAAGTACGAAACAATCATGGCTCACCTCTGATCACACGTAAAAGGAAGGAGAAAATCCTTTGGTATTTGGATGTAGTGTCCGGTGTGATAATTACTTCCAAAGGATGAGGAACTTTGTAGTCAAGATACAGAAAGTCTAATGCCCTGGTCAAGAAATTTATGAAGCATGTTCGATCTGCAGCAAAAATGGCGCTACTTACTCGATATCTAAGTACGCATAATGACTTAGCGCAAATGTACAATGCATAGGGAAAACATAGCTTACAAAGTGGGTTGAGCCATCGTTCACGTCCCGTATCGCTAGGGAGGTCTCTGATGGCGAACCCAAGACGAATTTCAGCTTCTTGTGCTATGCGCCTCGACCCGAGTTCATGCTCCTGCCTATCATCGGGGCCAAATGAGCATATGTCCTGAGATTCCACGATAACTGTTCTCAAAAAAAAGCTAAGGTCAGCACCCCCAGGAGGCCACGTCCCTCGCTCTATCAAGAACGGGGCTAAGCCAACAGCCCAATGTCTGGTGCCATGCTGAGCCACTCCAGCGGCAGATCTACTCCTTTGGCGGGACAGGGCGAACGATTTTCCGCCTCCAGCGACAACCTCACGGTCATCGGTGTCAGAGAACAAAGCAGCTGTAAGTCGTGATTTGAATGATGGGGAAGTCAGGAGCATA